CAATATGGAGCAATAAAATTATAAAAGGAACGCCATATGTCCATTATTTCTTTATATAATTGAAACTTTATACATATATATATATATTATCTTTTAAATTCTTTCCCTTAAAAATAAAGCAAAAACTTGACATCCAAATAATAGTCATGTGATTTGTCATTAAAGTACTGTATTTTAGTTTTAATTATTAGAATTCAAATCTTAATAACTTTAATTATATATAAAAAAAAACTTTGGAGCTAATGTTACAAATAACTCTTAAATTATAATAAAATTTTCAATGTGTTATTTGAATTTTAAAAATTTTTATGTGATTATTAAACTATAAATCTGTTAATTAATATTATATTAACTTATAATATAATTAGCTTTAAATGTGATACGTAAAGAACAAACAACCTTCAAAATACTACATTAGCTAATATATAGATTCATAATTCTTGTACTATATTAAAATTTTGGATATATTCTTCCACGGTCTCTAAAATTTAAAGTGAGTATCGTATCGGTTCCTAAACTTTAAAAACTAATATATTGGTCCCGTCCTTCCACGAGTCTAACCGTTGGTTGAACCACCAAAAGAAAAGATAAAAGGAAAATTACAAAGTAAAATAATAGATTGATAATATTATAAGTTTAGAGTTAAAAGGTAAAATAATTATAAAGGAAATAAAAGTTTGATAAATTTTATTTTTTTGATATTAATTCTTATATATTTTTATTGTTATTTTTATGATGCTAATTTTTAAATCAATTAATATTTTTTATTTTTTCAAGAAAAAATTTGTTAAGTTGCAATTAAACTTATCCATAAATTAAGTTGTCAACATGATCTACAAGTTAAATTCGACTTGAATCAAGTTTTGAATATGATTTTTAAAATCTAAGCTTGACCCAATTAAATTATTATTTTATAATAAAATATTATTATTTAATTTGTGTTTTAAAATATATTTAAAAATATTAAAATATTAATATAAACATTTTGTTAATATTTTAATTTCTAATAGTAAAATCCTTGGATTTTTAATGGATGAGTCAAACTGAGCCTTAAATGAAACTTTGAAAGTGTTATCAGGTTTGATTCGATTTATGAAATTTTTAGTTGTGATTCAAGTAATTAAATTTGACATTTTCTATTAATAAGTGATAGTGTGAAATTTATAATATTTTATTGAAAATTGTATATTAATATTTTATAACTAAAAAACTTGATTTTTGAAAAAACATTTTAAAACGATGGAATTATCATAAAATAAATGACAAATACACGATGATTTATAATTTAATTGCATGTTTTAAACAAACAATAAATAAATTTTAAAAAATATGTAATTTTCATTTTCAAGATACAAACTTCTTTTTAATCCTAAAATTGAATCCAAAAAATATGTACTAAAAAGGTTAAGGATAAAAAATAATTTTATTTTTATATAACTATCAAAATTGCTAGTTTAAAATTTAGAAGTAAAAAAAATACTCAACTTAAATTTTAAAAACAGTAAAAGTAATCTATTCTAAATATTTTTTTAATTTAAATATCATATTAAATATTTTATTATAATTCGAATATATACGTGACATTGAGCAAAAACTTTGCATCCACGGCTAATGCTATTTCAATATGGTACACCTTTTGAAAACAGTTCACACTGCAAAATTGGCTTTTCCAACCGAGAACCTAAAATTCAATTTGCTCGTTGAGGATTGTTGAGAATTATTCTTTTCTCTTTTTCTTGAGTGATCTTTTTATTTTTGCTTTCTTTTGTCAAATAATTAAAATCTTTTATGTAATGGGTTCTGAGTTTTTTTTTTTTTTCAATTAACCCAAACCATCCCAAAAAAAAGAAAGAAAAACAAGTAAATTGCAAGGGAATAAAAAAGTAGAGTATGTACCAATCAATATATATAAATATATATATATATATATATATTCTTATGTGAAGTGCAAGCTCCATATAAAATTTATGCAAACTCCACTGTACGTTTTTATGGTTTGGGAATTTCTTACATTGTATTATTGTGCCTTTTTATAGATCGTCCATTGTGATAAAATTTTGTTCTAGCAGGCTTATATCGTTAATTTTTTTTATTGGTAAAACTATAAAATACCTTTGATTCAAAAAGTTAATTTTTTGTTCACATTTTAAGAATATTTTCATAATTTTGTTATGAAAATTTTAATGATGTACTAATTGTCGAAACATAACTCTATCAAAACCGACTATCTGGAACAAAAAAAAGAAAAAGAAAAAAACAAGTGTTATATGAGAAAACCTTCAAATAATAATGGGTAAGTGAGGCTTAGAAGTGGATTATCCATGAGATTCATTATTTTTTTAAAATTAATTACAAGTCAAAAACGATTAATAAATTAAAGTATAACTAAATAAATTCAACATAAAATTGAATCAAATTCACACTCAATTAGTTTTGAACCTACAATTTTAGAATTCAAAAATATCTTCATTATCACTAAACCAAGAGCTGGAACAAATTATATTTTATGAGAAGATTTGAGTGTTTTTAGATCAAATAATTATAAATTTGTAGTTTATTTGTACTCCCTTTTGATTAGTCATCTCATGCCAATCAATATTGTGAACGGAATCATATTATCTATAATTATTGTATTGTAATTAATCAATTAAAATTCAACATTGTATAAAATTTTTAAAAAAAATTATGTAAAACTCATATTTTTAAATGATGAACTTTACATATTTTTTTTCATGATTGTTTAATTAATTGTAAAAATATAATAAAGAGAATTATTGATAAAATGATCGAACATAGAATTAATGCGGCATGAAAAAAAAAAACCATTAAAAACAATTTCTTGTTTAAAATAGGGCTCATTTTCATTTTCATTTTTAAAAGCTATATATGGTAAGTGAGCAAAGACAAAGTCAGAATGTATGACATTTTTTATATTTAAAAAATAATTGTCTCAATGTTACTAAAGTGTAAGGAATATATACAATTCGTGTTGGATTGATGGTTTCAAAACGGAGTGGGAAAATCGATCTTGGTAGGCCATACAATTTGATTTGATTTTTCCATCTCCTTGTTTAGATGTGTTCCCTCTAAATATCATGATTCATTGCACTCAATCATATGTTCCACTCTTAACATTTTTTTTTTTTTTTTGCCAATTTGGATTTATTGGTTCCAATGAAATGAACTGTGTAGTGTATTTCTTTGTATATAGTTGAAAAATAAATTTAAAATTTAATTCAATTTATTTATGTAATTATTTTTAATAGATAATATTCAGTAAATTTAAAATTAAATTTCAAATACTTATAATTTTTTTAATCTTAAATTATAATTTATTTTGTACTAAAAATTTAAAGATAAATAAATTATTTGGCATTGAAGTTAGAGAAATATTTGTTTTATTCCATAAAAGTTATGCATTAAAAGCTAGCGTCAACACGATTATTTATAAGATGTATAGGAAATTAATGAATCGCGAGTTCACCTCTCATTGGTTAAGTTAATCTAATTAGCTTGCGTAGCAAAAATATTGTTCCGATAAAAAGAATGTCTCAAATAAAATTATATTAGCAAAAATCTGCTAGTGTTAGTATCAAGGTTTTCATTCGGAGGGATGATCTAACTACCATTTATTTGGTAAAGATTGCGGTAACGATGAAACACATAAAACAGTAACCGACAAACGTACGTGTGCTCAACATCATATATCTAATTTTCACTTTTTTGATTGGTGCCTAAATTCTACAACCAGTTCGAAGTTTAGAACTGAGCCTGCTAATTTCACCCATTAATTAATAATGACTTGACATTTATAGACTGTCACTATAGTTTTTAATTTATAAACGAAATTAAGAGATTAACAAATATTTTATTTATTTTATTTAATGTTTTAAACTTTTTTAAGAGTAAAAGAAATAATTTCTTTTTACTAAAATAACCCTCAACTTAAGTATGGGCTTTATGAGACAAAAGCGTGGTTGCTTCAAGTAATATCTTAAAGTTAGCCTCGTTGGTTCAATGCTGCAATAAAAAAAGTTACGGTTCCTTATTTTTTTTGTTGTTTTGGTTAATGTTTTTACATTTTTGAGTAGATTGAATTTTATTGAGTGACCTGCATACGGGGTAATTGAGCAAAAGAAGTCTAGTTCGTGGGGTCACACGCAAATGCAACAAATCCCTTTGTCAAAACAGATAAGGAATCGCAATATGATAATTTTATATTTTATACGTGATAAATACGAAATAAACAAATACATATATACGAGTAGTCAAATTTAACTATGAGATCTTATCCTCAATCCCTTAGGGCGGAAAAAAAACTTATAAAAAAAAAAAAAAAGGGAAAAGAAAGGAAAAGCTCTATATATTGAAACTTTTGACATACAAATTCAATGAAATGTCCATCAGTGAATTTCATTTCATAAGGCAAATGATCCAAGAACTAAAAAATCTCCCTCTTTTTTGCTAGGCAACTTAATTTAGGAATCCCTTTCCATTGAAGAGGAAAATCTGAAGAAAGTAATAAGATTGATGTGTTCTACAGGTGAGAATGATGGAATCTGGAGAAAATTTTATGAGCTGATAATACTTTTCTCTTGCCTTAATCTCAGGCGACTCCCTGAGAAAAGCTGAATATAACTGTCTAAGCCAAAGAAGCACCAGAACCCCAGATTCAATTTCGTTTTGCTGAAGCTTTATCTCAACCTCAACTCAACTATGACTTTGAGCTTTAAGGCTGAGATCCAAAAGTATTGAATTTTCACCTCAATCTGCTGAGGCCATTTTCAAGGTTCTGCTCCTCGTTAATCCAGGAAAGATATTTTATTCTAAAACCTTTGATTACATACATGGTGAGTTAAATGCTAGACAATCCTATTAGTTTGCAATAACATCGTGAATCACATGCAGTTTCAATAACAAGAATCTGTATAGATGCTCTATAGAGCAATTATTCAGAACTAATTAATCCCAATAAGCAATCACAAAGAAATCTTCAAAGGTAGAAGAACGGAGAAAAATTTTAAAAATAGTTTTATATTTTTTAAAGTAGCTGTATTGATTGAACAAAATGCTTCACATATGAAATTTAAGACCTCCAACCAAGCAAATAGAGACAAAACACAAACTGATAAATTCATACCATTCTGCGCTATGCAAACACAACACACGGGACTATTCTTCTTCAAACGCTTTCAACAATTCCCCGGTGCCATGTGTTTATTTTTGTATGAAATAACCATCTTTATGTTGTATTTTCTTTACTTCGGTAACAGCAACAAACAAAAGGGTGATGCAATCACAAAAGCCTTTCTGGATCTTTTCATAGTTGGGCATTCAAAAGGGAGCTACCTTCACATGCTCAACAAGTAGTTTCATGAGATGGGCTATCTGCATGCATGTCCATTGAGGAATCATTGGAGCTGAGAGGATTAGAATCCCTAGTCTGGTGTTGAAGAAAGTTAGATTCATTATTCCTGGCTCCATTTCCTGAAGGCAGACCACCATCAGGACAGTAGCCTTCCTGAGCAATGTGATAATGCTGAAGACTCTGACAAACAGCACTCGATAAAGCATTTGAGAAAACTAAATTCTTGGGCTGCTGATCACAATGGTCGGGGCGAGTTCCCAGCCCAGCAGTTTGGCCAGATGAACCTGAAGAGACCATGAAACTGGTATTCATGAACTGCATTGTAGGCTGCGAATGCTGCTCTAGGCTTGGTGCTCTAGGTGACATTGGGGGCTCCTCACCACAATAATCTAGTTCATTCTGCAAGGAGATCATAAATTGTTCAGATTTTCAGAATATAATAAAGATAACTATCAGTTATCACAAATAGGAAGGATCAGAAATACACTAGCGTAAGATATGCCAAAAGAATCATAAGGATCCCATATCTCAGACGGGAGAACCTATCATTGCCATCTTTGCAATAAACACACTACTGCTTGCACACTAGAGGAGAAAAGTAGAATATTATCAAAACTAACTAATAATTTTCCGATTCCAAGAGCAAACAAAACTTTTCACCATTATGGTAATGATGGCACTGAAGTTGTCTGATAGTTAACATCCAGCTGATTAGTGTGCAGACTCAACTACGGAAGAACAGCACAATAACTACTCTCATAAGTCTTTCTGATGCAAAATATGAGAACTAAATAAGACAGATTTGAAATAAGGGGCATAATTAGTACTGAAACAATTTGTGGGTTTGTAACATATGAATAAAGTATCATCCAAAGTAAAAATCCGAAAATCAGCATGCTGCTTGTAGCATATCCTATAACTAACGTCACTCTATAACAGTTAAGTTGATATCATAAGACAAGTGCTTGGCAGTTAAGGGTTTCGGCAGTTCTTCATTACATAGATCTGCAAGCCTGTTCAGACCTCTCATTAACAAACATTTGAATGACTGGTTCGGTTGTGTTACTAAAATAAAGAGGTATAATGACTTTATATTGATGTGTTTAGAGCCACCATCAGAGAAAATAATAAATTCACCAAATAGTGAAGGGTCAGGAAATCAACCAAAGCTTATTATGAAGGTACAATGATCTTTTGTTTTATTTTAATCACATTCAGGAATATTCACAAATCAATTAAATAAATCTGAAACTCATATCATTAGTTATAAAAACATGCAAAATTGGTTCCAAGGTTATCACACAGCTATACTGCCCCATGTTAGTAGAAACCTCTGTTGCAACAAGGAAGACTTGCATACTCTCAGCATTGACTAACTTATATGAAACTAGATTAAATTACCTCCTCTCAATATTGGGAACAACAAGATTCTAGACTGTTAATTCTATATAACTTCCTTCCTTGCTTATAATTTTCGTCGAACTAAAACTGAAAAACAAGGAAACAATCTCTTCTTGTTATATTTCTCATTATACACTGCATCTCATCACTTCTAAACAATTTAAATGTCTAAACTGAAAGCAAAATGCACAACGTTTATTTCCAAATTTCCATTATGTGTCCTATTGGTCAAAACTATTTGCAGAATCATTTAGAAACAAAAAGAAACCACACATGAATAGATTCAAAACTTCCTTGCTTATCTTTTGATACGAGCCCAAGATAGAATAATAGCCAGATATGGCTTTAACAGATCAAAGGTTTGCAAATGGTAAATACAGTAAGGAATCTAATAGATAGAGAAAAGAGGAAGTGATGTCATTCCATGTCAAAAAGACAACCAAGGAAAAGGGATATGTCATTCATGATTCACCCTTAATAGGGTCATTCATGATTCAACCTTAATAGAAGCCTAGATGAACTTTTCATAAGCTACATTAAAACTAAAATGGCATAAAGCTTATTTTTATGCAGCCACATATATTATGGTATCCATATAACAGAACTACAGCACAAACACATTCAAAGAGTGAATGGCAGATGATAAAATAATCAAAGAAGAAAAACATACCTGAAGGTAACCGAGGATATCCATTGTTGTTACTCTTGATCCTCCCTCTTGTTGTCTCCAAATCCACTGATAAAGTTTTTCCTGAAAACAAGTTGAAATTACCATATTAGCAGAACTTCTAACTCACTTACCTACAACTAGAAGCACTTCACAGATGACTAGATGAGAAAGTGTACAAATGAAGGCTAGAAGCCAAATTGAGACAAAATAAATAATGCAATAGCTGAAAATTTATAACTTCATAGATTTTACACTCAGTGCTGTGTGAACTAGGCATAGACCTTTGCTTCTAACAGAGGAAACAAGCAGAATTTACAATAAATTGAATGTCCTCTTTAGAAGATAAACTTCCAGGTGGAATATAATGATTCTAAAGCATGTCTGAGCACGTTCAAGTGAGTTGACTTTACCAATGATTTTATAAGCTACTTCAAACTGCCAATACACCCCTCTAATTTTTAATCACAATTCATTAACACTAAAAGAGTCATCATAAAAAATTCTGGTAAGGCCATAAGGGTTCTAAATACGCTGGTTTCATGACTCAGTAGCTAACAAGTTTCAAGCTTTAAATGGCATACACTTACGGAAGCAATATCAATGGTTTCATTAGCGTCATGCCCATGAAAGTGAAGACTGTAACCTTATCCTAAATCAAGAAAGTAAACATCGAGCACTTCAATTTCCACACTCCTTCATTTCACAACTAAGGCACTGCAATAAGCAAGTATTGATCCTAAAAAGGAAAAGGGATTTTTTTTTGTTGATTTGAAAAGATTTTGTTGAAATGTATCAATTCCTATAAAAAATTATCTCTATTCAAACTCACAACGAGTTTAAACATCTTCTAGCAATCAGTTCCACTCTTTGCTCAATGTACAAAACATCAACGACGCAATTTAAATATATATATATATATATATATATAATTATCATTTAGGTTTCTCAACAAAATCAAAATGCACCACACTATCTTCAAGTTAACACACACACACACACACACAAATGCAATATATCCAGAAACACATTCATAAAATAAGATAATCAAATTAGTCCAAAACCACTAAATCCCTAAGCATATTCGCATAAAAAAAATATTTTACCACAATTAAAGTATAAAAAAAATAAATAAAAAGCAGGCTTGATTTATCAAAATCATAACTTTGAGCTACTCAAACATATATACGTAATAAAACACAAAACCCAGATGCAAGAACAGATATAAAAATCCATAAAGCTATAATTGCACACAAATAACAACCAAAAACCAAGGAGAATATATATATATATATATATATATATAGAGAGAGAGAGAGAGAGAGTACAAGGCTATGGCGTTTTCCAGCTTGGAAAGATAGCTTCTGCTGGTTCATAGCCTGAGTATAAAGCTGAGACAAGGAGTTAGCAGCGCTGCAAAACGACGCGTACATAGTTCGATCCACCTCATCAAGGCTCGTCGCTATTGACTTCCTTTTCTTCTCCATATTTCCCGATTCCCTCTCCTAGGACCGACAGAGTTTTAAGTTGCTTTTGGCGATCGATGAAAAGAGAGAACTTTTCTTTTTTTTTACTTTCTGATTTTTGTAGAGGAATGGAGAGAAAGGTTGCTTGTATTCTTTTCGAGGATGAAGGCTGCAGCAAGAGATTCGAGGGACACTTCTTGGCGGTGCGGTTGAGCAACTGATAAACTGCGCGTTTGGACCGGATGATGTATTGGGTGCAGCGTTTAAAATATGAATGTCGAGTTGATGCCGTGTGAGCTTCCATTTAATCATATAAATAAATATATATTTTATATTTAATATATTGTTAATGTATAAATTTTATATATTATTAATAAATTAAATGATATAATCTCATTAATAAATAAATATCAATTTTTAAAATAAATATATAAAAATTAATATTTTTTAAAAATTTATTCATTAATGAAGTGACATAAAATGGTATCATCTTATTCACTAATAGTGCATAAAATTTATAAATTGATAATATATCAAATATAAATCCATATATATATATATTATACAAGATGCATAATTACCTGATAAGATCTGCTTACATGTTATTTTACATAGAACAATATATATTATTGATACTTAAGATAATTTTAAATAATTTTATTCAATTAATTATTTAATTTTTAAAAATTTTAAAGTTTCAAAAAATTATATTTATCCAAATCTTTTAAAGTATATAAGTTTTATCTTAATTTAAATAAAAAAACATATCTTATATTTCACTCTTATCTATATATATAAAATATAAAATTCAAATAATTTTTAAAGGATAAATCCTTAAATCTTAGGAATTATAAAAATCATATACCATCTAAATCAATATTCACATAAATTTAAATGAATAAAGTTTGTGATCGAATCACCAATTTTTTTGCCTTTATTTTCCTATAGTTTAAAATAAAACAGAAAGATATCTTAATTTAAAATTACTCACACATCTAAATTTAAAACTATACTAATGTTTTTTATCTTGATTTAAAATTAAACTTGGATAAACTATATTTTTAAAAATTTAACATATTTAAAATTAAATAATTATCAAATATATATATATATATATATGATTTCTTCTCACGATCAATATTTTCTTCTTTATAAAAGATAAAGCAATCAGATTTTAGTCACGAAAGTTTTTCATGATAAAATTTTAATACTATGTTTGGATTGAGGGAAAGGGAAGAAAAATAAAAAAAAGTAATAGAAATAAAAAACCCTTTTCTTTGTTTGAATAAACTTTTAGTTTAAAGGAAATGAAAGGTAGAAACCAAACAACCTTTGGTTTTCCTTGTAATTCTCACTTTTTTAATACCATAATTTAAGGAAAAAGCTAAGGAAAGAAAAGTTGAAAAAATTTTATTTTTATGAATAGACTAGCATATTCATATTTTTATTATGACATAAGATTTGATTATAACAAGCTAAATTATTGTCAGAATGAATTAAAAGGTTGAATTAAACATAAAATTAAGAGTAAATCAGTAACTAGCTAATATATCTTATCATATTAAACATATTCAATTTTATTCAAAAAGATTTGTTTATACAAGTTAGGTAGTATAAAGATATATTTGTATATTATATATTACTTTATTAAAAAAAGTTATAATTGAAAAAATATTAAAATGAATTATTTTTTTCTTTTCACTATTTTATCCAAACAATGGTTGTTAAAATTCCTTTCATTTCCTTTCCTTTATAAATATCTATCCAAACATAGTGTAAAATCAAATATGGAAAAGTCTTTCATGATGGTTGAATAGAAAATTATCCTTCTATGGTAAGTTTGGATTCTAGGATTCTATTTATGTTCTTTTACTGTATTTTTTGGTATTTTTTAGTGATTGACAAGATTATTTTATGATTTTCAATTATAATACTTATCCTAATATAATTAGCTCCAAATGATGACACGTGATAAACAAACAGTCATTCAAGTATTATATTAATTAACAAATTCATAGTTCAAATACAACATTAAAGATTTTTAAAATTCGGATACCACATTAAATATTTCACTATAATTCAAGAATCATTCATGATATTAATCATTATAAATAAATATGGTAGGTTATGGATAATGAAAATAACATTCCTCACTATTTTTGCAAAATAAAAAAAAATTACTCACTATTTCGAGTAAGTTTCTAATTTAAGGACTTGGATACTCGTTACCCTAAAATCATTTAAAAGGCATTTGGTTCACAAAATCTTAGATTTCAGAGGAAAATGTGATTCCATAGAAAGTGTGAATCCAAGAGAAAGTGTGATTTTTCATGGCATCCTATTTTTAGATTCTTGTGTTTGGTTAGGGGAAATTTGAGATTACTTAATCTTATGTTTTTACTATAATGTCCTTCTCTACATAACAAATACAATAATTTTTCAATAAAATATTAGGCAAATAATTTAGTGTCAATAATCAATTATTGCACTATTAAACAAAGCAATGCAATAACTGGATTGTTTTAAACAATAATTATAATGATTAATTACTGCATTATATACTAATACAATGTAATAATTGAATGTTTCATAACAACAAAAATTTTATCAAATATTGCATTATACAACTACGCAATGCAATATTTGATTGTTATAAAACAAATTTTCATGATCAATTATTAGGTTATAAAAAGAAAGCAACGCAGTTATTAGTTTTGTGAACAAAATAAGTATCAATTATTGCATTATAAAAATAATCCAACACAGTATTTGATTGTTTAAAAAAAAAATCCTCAATTTTTCATGATCAATGCCGTAATTTAGAATTTTCAAAACAATTACAATTATTTTCATACTATGTTACACAAATAGCAACACAGTAATTGATTTTTTGAAATAAATACAAGTATCAATTACTGTGTTATGAAACGTATCAACGTAGTTTTTGATTAAGTCCTAAGAAAAATAAAAATATAAATCACTGTGTTGAATTGGTTTTAAACTCAATAATTAATAATTCTATTTTTAAAAAAAATTTATTATTCAAATATACATGTACAAGTATACAATTATAATATCTTATGTTGCATAATGATATACATAATACAATGTATCTTACGCAACATAAGCCTTTCTGAAGCAAATAAGATATAATGTATATTGACAAATTGTATCACAATTTTTTGAATAAAATAAAATATATCATGAATTGTAGCATATTATGCATTATAAGATTTTTGAATCAAATAAGATACAATGTATGAGAAAAATAAAATACATTGTTATATGAATATACTATGTACCTTACTACGTTATACAACATTCAGGTCGATAATTGATTTTTTGAATCAAATACTGCGTTATAGAACATAACAATATAGTATTTGATATTCTAAAATAAATACAAGTATTAATTACTATGTTAGACATTGGATGAGATATGCATACTCCTCTTTTGTCCATAAATGGTTACCTTCTGATGAGCTATGTGTTCTTCTTCATGAAATATTTTTTTAAGGTTGTGTAAAAGTGGCACCAGATGAAAACATTTGGCTATCTAATCATATGGTTAGACATTCATGCAAGAAAATGCCTACCAATTGATAAATCAAAGAAGATGAAAATAAAATTAGTGCATGAAGTAAACCAAATGACAATAGTAACAAAACAAATATTATTGCAAATAATAGTAAAAAAAATCATACACTAATCCAGAAAAAATTCAGGAAAATATATATTATGAAAACATAAAAAACACATTGTAGACTTTACTATAGGGTACAAACATAAATTTAACCAACACAACATAAAGAAACAAAAACTATAATGTCCTTAACCCTGGGATTGCAACCAATTAGTGAACATTTCATTTGCTAGATTATTTCTAAACTAAGTCTAAGCATTACTTGACTCAAAATTCCTAATTAAATCTTGATGTTCATATCCATCTCGTTGGCTACTACTTTTTTTAACAACACCAACTTCAATTGGGTTGATTGCCATCTCAGGTCTAATAAAATTATGAAGAAGACAGCAAGTAAAAATGATTTTACACTGTGTTTTTATTGAATAACATGATTTGTCCTTTAAAATTGTCTATTTAGCTTTCAATATACTAAAACATTTCTTGATACAATTCGTACTTGAGAGTGATTCATATTGAAGTATTCTTAGAGTGTCATCGGTTGGTGTCCTAACCTCTAATCATTCAGGTGGTATCTTTGATCTTTATAAGATGCAAAAAAATCTTCCTCATTTATGTATCCGGCATCACATAAATAGTAATATCATATTCCAACATCACAACACTAATTAAAATTATATTCAAGCTAATATCTTATGGGATTTTTAACCTATTTTTGCATATAATGACATCCCTTAGCACCTGCCATCTATTGCAAAACCTTCTCAGCCAAATAGAACATATATGAATTGTATTTTTGGTGTGTAAACACCAAGCACATTGATAGCAATTTCATTTTTTCTTGTCCTTTATCTAGGCCTATCAATTGAGTTTATATTCACCTTTATATATGTCCATCTACAACACTAAAATAACATTTGAATCATTTTCATCTATTATTTGTTAAATTCTCCAGTGTTGGTTTGGATTTTTTAAACAACAAAGAATGAAGTTTTAAAATAGAATTTAACATAGTATGAAATTGCCTACTAATTATCTTTCTAGATCTCGCAACTTAACGTTTCATGACCCAATTTTTTGTATGATGGGTAATAATGTGGAAGAAGTTACTAACAATTTTTTCTATTGACATATTTACAGATGCTTGTAACCCCTATGTGATTGAAACAAATGGCATAATTTTGCAAAAGCTCTCGTTTCCAATTTACAATTATCTACATTATCTATCGCTCTAAAAACTATTGTATTTAAGTTTAACTCTTTAATTGTAGCCTATCATAACAGTTATCAACATAAGATATTATATGCCTTTTTCTATGATTCATTCCAAGTAATGTCACTACAATAATAATTAACAGGTGTAACATAGTCCCTAGCTAATTCATGCGCAAAATAAGCATTATTACTATTTGCATATTCTATTTTAGTGATAAAGGAGCCATAAATATGTAGATCAATTTAGTAAAAGTTAATATTAAAAATATGTATTGATAGTAAATATGTGCCATTCGTACATAAAAACTAAAAAATAATAAAAAATGATTAAAAAATTAAAAAATTTGTAACATCAGAACATATGTGAATCAAGGACCAAAACCAAAA